ATGTGTTTGCAGGTACCAGTGGGTTTCAGTAGGCAGCGCATGTAGATATTCCAGTCTCTGGTGCACCATAAGGTATGTTTTTTTGTGTGAATTTGCGAAGCGGCAAGTTTGTAGATTCAAACCAATCATACAGGAAGAACCAATGTCATCATGAAATCGCTATATCTTTGTATTTAAGAACAGATCACGAAGCGTATATCGTATGGCATGGCCACAATTTTAAGGGATGTGACGATATTAATCAGGAGATAAGTAGTATCGGAAAGAGGTGTGACTTCAATAAAGGCAAGGGAAATTCGCTGCTTTACTTAGCCTGTGTCAAATACCTACGATTACTAGAATTCGTACATCCCCCTGAGTAGAGTCTCGCCTAGCATCGTGCTAAATCCGTGTTCCTGCGGTATACACCCGCTATCCGAGATATAGAGCTAAAACGTACGACGACGATTTTTTCCATTTCTGCTGCCAGCCAAAGTCATTCCATCTTTTCACGTGCGTTTGTCCTCTCTGGGTTGGAAATTTTTAAACAAAAGGCAGTTACGTTAAAGTGTGTGCGTATCTCGGGCAAGGCGGTGTGCGCGCGCAGAGAGATTGGACATGCGACGCAACACTCGGCAGAGCTATTAACTTTGCTACTGACGTATTCTGTACAGCTGGTATGCGCCCCCCCCCCCCACCGCAATCAGCAGCAGTCTGGCTGCTCAGCTGCGCGGCAGCGTGGTATAAGCGGCCGCACAATAGCACCACTATCCGCAGTCTATCCCAATAAACGAGCACGCATCACCCGTGGCCCGAGATGCAAGCTCTTCGTCGAACATTGCGCTGTCTAATGTTAGCTGCTAAGTTTGCGTTGGCACGTCGGCGTCGTCTTTGACCAGCAGCACACACATTCTTAATTTCCGGGTCATGTTCAGAGCTTACGCTCTTCGTGGTGATTTTCCTGTCTTCGTTGTATTTTCAGTAGATTGATTTTTTCTCCTACGCGGTCCATGTTGGATATTTTGTCGCTCATGGGCTGCTCTCGGCGAGAAAAACAGAACAAAGTAATGGCAAGCCAAATGTTCTGCGTTCGCATGCCCACGGGCTACAGGGCTACAGCCATAGACTAGGATTACAGTAGCACTCGTCTGTTGCGTCTATGATTGCGTCAATGATCCAATCTCCGTCGCGCCACACCGCCCTTGCCGAGCAGAGCAAGCTTGTTGTTGAGTAGCTCGCCTTTTGTAAATTCAGGCTGGCAAGACGCCATCGACCTTTGCTGGCAGGCAGAATGAAAATCGTGTCAGTTACGTTTTGTGTCGTAATCTCCGGATTTGCGGGTGCTATACGCTGGAAACGATTCCGCACGTTGCTAAGGGCCGAATGTTACTCAGTGACATTGTGTTCTCGTAATGGGCCTCAAGTTGGATGAGTTACCGAAGTAAAGTCCGTAGGTATGTACACAGGCTAGTAAAGACGAAATTTCCCTTGTTTAATTGAAGTCAGCACTCCTTCCCTAGTTATCTCTACGTCCTGATATAATGAATACATTACGATGATGTTAACGCTCGAGTTGATAACTTGCGACATACCATGTCCCGACTCAGCATACAGAATGCCTGTGCTGCTGCTCGTGCAACTCGAGAAGGTACGCTTATCTTATGTCTTGCGTGTTTTAGGCCACATGAACGATCTGTGGTTCGTGGACGAGGTCGCGTGCACCAGGACAGTATAACTGTGCACAACAGGTACCCATGAATCACTAAACCCGAAAGCTTTCCAAAATGTACGAAATCACCAGGAATGCATCTCAGCTATAGTTTTGCACCACATTTGCCTCTGAGTTTTAACAGCAAATGTGTGAAGTACTTTTATAAAATGGTGCAACTAACCATTTTTGTTGCCTAGAGGAAACACAGCAACAAAAGGTACAGTTTGATGTTCCACGGCAACTAAGGATCAATGGAGGTACTGCCCGAAGAATGATTTGTGCAGGCGAAATCTCAGCTGACTGCACTGATCAGGTTTCTGCCAAGGTAGTAATTGTCAGTAGACGAGTATTTTAAAGGAATTATTTTAATATCATTGTTTAAAAACACACAATCTAGAGAAATATATATATATATAGTCTCACCTAATAGCAGATATGTTAGTTATTACGGCAACTTGAAAAATACCAAGAATTTGTGCTGTCTAGATAATTAGCGTTTTGGTATCCATAGTACTATATATATATCCAGTAGTATATTCTATACATACGTAGTATCTGCATATTTTACATTTTTTATATTTAGAGGTGGGATTCTGCACAGCAGCATGCCGTACTTTGATGGTGACACAGGAGTTCTGCAAGCACCTGTCAATATCAGGGTTGGCAACCACACAAAACCTCTGGATTGCTACATCTATGCCATAGTCACTAGCTCTGATCTGACATTCAGCGATTCCAGCATAGATTTTGGGCACTGTACTGTGTATGAAACAGTCATCAAATGTATTCAGGTATGTTTTCCTTTTTGTGTGGTCCACAATACATGTGACAAGAATATTACCATCTTCTGTATCATTGCTATGTATTTAATACTGCAATCTGGTGGCATATTCTAACGACAAACAGTACACATGATGAAGACAACAGACTGGTCGTCGAAACTTGGTTTAGTGACAAATTTAGACTTCATCTCGAAATTGAAACATTTTTAATGTATGTACTAATTTCTCACGCTGCAGACTTGCTAGTTATCTTGCATTGCAGGTAAAGAATCCGTCGCTCGTGAGGCAAGAGCTGGGGTTTGTAAAGCTGCCAGCATGCATCGACGTGCAGCCTGGCGATGGCTTCATCTCCCTGCTGCCGCAGCAGACCGCCACACTGCAGTTGCTCTTCAGTCCAACGAGCGCCAAAATGCACCACTTCCACATCGTCTGCAAGACTACCTTCTCAAGGTAGGAGAACAAGCAGCTGTCGTGTAGAGCGGCTCGTAGAGAGGTTGTTAGCCACTCTGTCTGCAGCTCGATATATGTTAACTCCACACACTCAGAGATACGAAATGTCGAATTTATAGATGCATGCATCTGCATGTTTTGTAAGCAGCACAATAGAATCTGGTGGAGTGAGATAACGACACTTCCCCCCCCCCCCCGGATATTGTTGCTAGGGTGGTCGCACGTTTTTAGCATCAAACAACAACAAGTTAACGACAACGTCAACTTTGCGGCACCTTGTTTCTAGGACACATTTTTATAACACCTCTTACACGATCACTGTATGCATTCTCAATCAATGTTGTAATCTACACTGCCCATAGGCAGGTAATTCAGTCATCTATATTCAGTGATTTAAAAATATTTGTGTCAAGTGTCGATATAATTTTGGCCATAATATTCTGTGTGCAATCATTCAAGTCTGTTATTGTATCTTATCATAGATGCTTCAAGATTGAGTGTAGTGGTATTGGTGTAGAGCCGCCACTGCGCCTCTCTCATCAGGTGGTTGCCTTTGCACCTACCTGCCTGTATAACACCACGACTACCACTCTACACATATCGTACCCACACCGCAAACACGCTTGCACTTCAAAACCTGATCAAGGTACGATTACTGGGCCTGTTCTTTATTAATTCTTTATTAACTATCGTTTATACGTTATTCTAACACTCTAATATGTGTTGCTCATCGTTCTATGTATTGTACATGATGCATAATTTCCAAGAGATAGCAACATATACTGTACCTCATTAAATAAGTTCATTCGGTTGGTAGAATAATATAAATAACCAAGTTAATTTTTACTCAACCGTGCTGGTATGAAACGTACCGCTGACGTTTCGCCTCCTGTCAGGAAGCTTTCTCAAAGCTAACTGATGTTAATCAGTTTTGACCACCAGATGGTGTGGTGGTCAATAGCTTAGTCCACACGTGACTAAGCCTGTATCCCCCCTCGTCCCGGTTGATGTTTAAATCACCAAATCCGCGATCACTGATCATGTAGCGAAGGACAACCACACCATCAATTGGGAGAATTCGAAGATCATTGATCGCGAGCCTAACAAAATCAGGCGTTGGATCAAGGAGGCCATTTGGATCCGCAAGACCCCAAACATCAACCGGGACGAGGGGGGATACAGGCTTAGTCACGTGTGGACTAAGCTATTGACCACCACACCATCTGGTGGTCAAAACTGATTAACATCAGTTAGCTTTGAGAAAGCTTCCTGACAGGAGGCGAAACGTCAGTGGTACGTTTCATACCAGCACGGTTGAGTTAAAAATAAAAAAAATTAACTTGGTTATTTATATACTGTACCGTCTATCTCTACACAAAGCATGCCTATCAATATCTGTGATTCTGTATTGATAAATATATTCATATACATATTGATTTATGTGCTGTAAGCGTTCATGAATGGTGTACTAGCCAGGTGACAACAACTGTTGGGCAGCCAAACGTCTAAATCCCTAACCCGGTTAAACATTAATGTGAGACACAGTGCCATGTCATCTGGTGGGTGCGACGGCAGAAACGCGAACCTCTAATGTAAACTCGCGAGCCCTCCTCTCACCAGGTGATGCGCCGGCAGCCACCGGCGAGCGCGTGTCCTATGGCTTTGCGATGCCGGACGGATGCCCCGTGTCGGTGCAGCCACGCACAGGAACCCTGGCACCTGGGGAGAGCCAATGCCTCGCCCTACGCTTCAAGCCAACCCTGCACGACGAATACATACGCAAGTGTGCAGCCAGCATGATAGACAGCAGGCACGCAGAGGAGCACCTGCTCAGGTATAGGCACCTTACGTATATTCTCAGGCCTCTTGGGCATGTGCTTAAGTGTGCACTGCTTAGGTGTACCCGACTCTTGATGAACTATGGCATTGTGGGAGAGATCCGAACTGTAGTAGCCGCGTATATGTTTCAAATTGCACAGATATTCCTTATTTCCATATGAATTTTACAACAGTGATGTGGTACACCTCTCCATGTGGAAGCGTGTCTCCTCTCGGGCACACATACGACACATACACCCACTAGGGCACATGCCATGTGTACATGCACGTACACACATAAACACATGCGCGCATAAACATACATGCGCATGCACACGCACCTGCACCCGTGCACGCACGCTCGCACATATGCACACATGCACGTTTGCTCGCACATATGCACACATGCACGTTCGCTCGCACGCACACATGCATGCACGCACGCACGCTCGCACGAACGCACACATGCATGCTCGCTCGCTCGCACGCTCGCACGCACGCACACATGCACGCTCGCTCGCACGAACGCACACATGCATGCACGCTCACACGCACACATGCACGCTTGACTGCACACATGCATGTATGCATGCACGCCCGTACGCACACATACATATCAATATATCGTAGTAATTAGTAGTTCTATAGGTTACTTACCACACTAAACTCTCTACCAAATCTAATCCTTACGACTGCCGCCCGCAGGAAGACACAGCTCTCTCCACAGACCTCCAAGCTTGAGAAGGAACCACAAAAGAAACACAAGAAGGGGAAGGAGTCGGCAGCAAGCAAGCGAGGTTCCGTGAGCCGCCAGCAATCCATGGCAAAGGTCCCCAGTCCAGACGAACCACCCTCTCCTGTGGCGCCCTTTAGCATTGACGAAAACTCTGACGACTATCGCGCCGCAAAGGAGTTCTTAATGCGCCTCTTTGATGGGTCTTTGGTGGACGTGTCCGTACCGTGTTTTCTAGCACGGGGCAGCGTGATGGATGCTGCGGGACTGCGACTCATCGACACTAGCACGTTGTACGTGGAGCTGAGCTGTCCTGCGGTGAGACCGGATCTTCTGCTGCTCCCACACGCTGGACACGTCGTGGACTTCGGCGCGGTGGCCGTGGGACGCCGCACCGTCCAACGCGCCATCGTCGAGAACGTGTCTGAGTGCGAACTAACGCCGACCGCGACCCCGCTCGACCTCCACGGGCCCTTCTGGCTGCTGAACGCGCTCCGTCCGTTGCCACCGGCAACCGTCTCTACGCTCGTGATCGAGTTTGCGCCGAAGTCGGCGCGGAGCTTCCTGGAAGTACTCCACGTTAAGGCCGGCGCATCGAACATTGCTGTGACGCTGCGGGGAGAAGCTGTCTTGCCCGTACTGGAACTAGAGATAGAGGGCACTGGCGCAGCAGAGATAGAGGGCGCCAATGTGGTGGAGATGGGCTGCACCCTCATCGGTGATACTGTGACGAAAACGTTTGCGGTCAAGAACGTCTCGTCCATTCCGGTGCAGTATAGCATTGTGCAGGATAGCATGGTACAGGACAGTGACTTGCAGGGTGGAGTGGTGCAGCACAGCACATTGCAGGTTAGCAAGATACAGCATAGCGAAGTGCAGGGTAGCGTGGTGCAGCATAGCAAGGAGGAAACTAGCATTGAGCAGCACAGTGAATTGCAGGATACCAAAGCACATCAATGCACAGTGCAGCATAGCGTAGCTGGAGAAGAAACAGCAGAGCATCCGACGACTCGCGGCTCCGTGTCGTCGCCGGGGTATGTGATGATGCTGCGCAGCTGTCAGCCTGTGTTCTCCTGCTCCCCAGCAGCCGGCACGCTGCAGCCGGGCGCCGTGGCAACCATCACCACGACGTTCCACCCTGACCGCGCCTGCAGCGCCGCACTCGACGATATTGCGCGCATTGTGATGTTCGGAAAACAAGAGGCACATGTTGTGCGGCTGCACGGGTCGGCCGCCGAACATGCGATGTACGTCCGTGGGGGCGCCACTTTTCCAGCGGCGGGCAAAGATGCGCTGATGATCACAGCACCGCTCTCGGACGTCGGTACGTATGTAAACAGCAGGGAGATTAAGTTGCCAATGCAACATTTCTGGTGCTCTCCCTGCATAATAATTTCGCCCACATAGGAACTGCAGCTAACCTAATTCTTAAAGGATTGTGCATCGTAGGACACTATGAAATATTTGAATTTCATGAATGACTTTTCGAAGGCTTGATAAACCCGATACGTAAACGTGTGCATGCTTACACAGTATCACAGCAAGAACAGCACCATCATCCTATCTCAATCGGCATAGAAATCGCAGCTATTCACGTGAATAAAAACATGATCTGATGGAGTCAAAATGTACAATATCTATGCGCCATCATGCACACATACACGTACATGTCATGCCAGAAATCCATGTCCTTCTTTCACGCAGTTGAAAAGACCATCCTGCTACACCTCAAGACACGGGCTGGTAGTTGCTTGCCTGTTACCGCCCGGCTGTATGTCGGCGTTGTACAGCCGACGTCAGGCGTGCAGAAGAAGAATGGAGAATTCCAGGTTGACGGTACAGCACCGGCGAGCGAGTGTGGGTTCGTAATCGAACCCACAAAGGCACAGGTGGATGCGGGGACAGAGAGGGAGGTGTTGGTTACATGGAAGCCTTCCAATGGTGAACATATGGAAGATGAGGTATGTACGGTCAAACACATGTTAGCAGTCATCTCCCGTGAATTAGTTATACAGAGAAATTAGCTCTTCAGAATGAACACTTGGCATTTTGCTTGAGTGACTGTTATATACAGGATTGACTGTATGAGACCATGACATAATTGCACTATGCATGCATTTCTTTCACATCATCTGCATTCTGTTATAACCATAGCTTGGCCAATACTAGGTGGCAGCATTTTGTGGTAAATATGTTGTCATGCAGTATGAATAAATGGAACATTTTTCTTGAGCTGTTGAATCGTACATACTACATAGCGTAGCAACTAAGTAAGTATCCAGTCATATTATCTTTCAGGGCCAAGTTATACGGAGCGAGGTTAGCGTGACTCTTAAAGGCGACGTACAAGAACAATATAGGTTGCTGCTGCAGGTGGCGTTTACTACGTAAACGCTTCGGAAAAGAATAGCTTATTGCTGCAAGTTGTCTAGTTGTGTTTGCCATTTATTTGAAATGCTGATGTCTGATGAACGACCAAATATATTTGGGAAGAAAATTATCTTAACAAAACGAATGTGAACGGTGTCCACAAGTTTTTAAACATCTAATGTTTTCCACTGAATATTAACTGTCAAACATTTTACCCTTTTCTCACAGCCTTCTTTCAATTGCCACTTATTTTTTGTTCCCACTGCAGTGATAATGGCTACCATTTCTTATAGAAAAGATTTTGAATAGAACATTTTTATCATAATGGCACAAGTACCACTCCTTTATTTGTCATAATTAACCTGATTGGCAGAGAATGTTACATAGATAGGCTTTTGTGCAAAACTATTAAACAGTGGAATGTGGTATTGCAGTTATTAACCAAAAGTGAATGCAGGACATTAAAACATTGAAACTATCAGTAGTGACAAAACCTAACACGTTGAATGCTCCTTATTTCACGTGGTGTACTGAGAACTGTAAGTCACATAAAAAGGTTCTTTTTGTTTTCCACACAACATTTTTGTTCATTCAAATAATTTGATGACATTTCTCACATTAAAAATAAAAACATCAGTCGGAGGAAAGTTTAACTAACAAGTGCCGCACAGCGACAGCGCTCACCTGACGGCAGGTGTTCTGATGCTAAACTCATTGGCAAACGAATGAAGAGCACCGTCCCATCACCGCGTTCGCGCTCAGAGCATATATCTAGGATGCTACTAATACAGATCTAAAATCTATGATAGCTAGGCTTTGCTATACCGGTAGTGCAGTAATAAATATACAGCTGTGTAACTTTAATGACTTCGCTATATTAACATGTTATCATGGATATGCGTCGAGCGCGAGCGTAGTGGTGGTGGTGGGAGAGTGGGGGGAGGGGGCGCGTGGAGGGGCTCTAATAGCAAAAGCAGTTGCCGCGAGATGGTGCGTGCAAGTGTGATCAATAATCAAAGATGGCATCACCCTTCGTGCGTGATAACCTCACTCCATTGAGTTGCTGAAATCCAAGTATATTCAGGCAGGCGAGAATTTCTCTCAGCTGTGAGTTAACACATCTGAATTGCAGGTTGCCAGGCAATAATTATGATTAGAATAGTGCCAGTTAACCCCCATGCATGCGTAATGGGCTGCACCCATGTTTTTGCCTACACACGCAAGCATTCAGGGTTCATTACAGTGTGCTATTTATTACAGGGTGCTACTCAGGGTGCTAATACAGACTGCTTTAGATAATAATATGATTTAAGGAGCGTAAACCTTGTTCAACAAACATTTGCCTTTGCAATTGAACTGTGCAACTGTAGCCTCACATCCCCAATAGCAAAAGCAGTTCAGTCCTTTGTTAACAGTCAACAAATCCATGTTTAACCCTCCTCTTGAGGGTCAAAAGGTTATCCGACACCGACTCTTCACATGTCAGCAGAAAGTACATTTCATGGTCCTTTCAATAAAGCCATAAAAATGCTAGGTCACCGCTGAAACAAAAAAGTTTTTCAATGGCTCCGTCAGACCATGTCCTCAGAAAATGTCTAAAATCTGCCCTGTGCCCCATTAACCTTTGACCTGTGACCTCCAATTTCGGCACAGTGATGGCTTTTCTTACCATGATGCTATACACTGACTATCACGAGCCTAGGTCGAGCCGTTTAGATTGGTGCCGCAATTCTGCATTTCCTCCCCATACCTTAAGTTAAGGAGGGAATGTTCCCCCTTCTTTTACACCTCTTGACCTTTGACTTTTGACCCCCCCCCCCCGTCCCTCTGGTATGGAACTAGATGGCTCGACTCGTCTCCGGATGCCTCTACCTCTCTTTGTTCGAGTGTCGGCCTTCAAACTGTCTGGCAGGTATTCATCCCAGACGACATCCACTCTGATTGCATGCTGTAGCTGAGATGTGATGTACGGCAAGAAAACCTGTGTTGCATAGTCACAGAACGTCTTCGCACCACCAGGTGCCAGTTGACTTCAACGTGAGGACTGGCTACATTCTCTTGTGGAGGGATCATATCTTCTAAGCATACCACGAGGTCAGACTTTTTGCCCAGTCTCATTTTGCCCATCTGTGACAGGGCAGGGGGACAGGCCTGGTTCTCATGAGCAAAGAAGTCGTCTAGATCTCCATCACGCATCTGGGCTGAAATGAACAGCCGGGAGAATAGGGAGCAGTCATTCTTGAGCAACGCCAGCTGAAGCTGGGTTCTTGATTTCTCTCTGACTGGAGGTCGGCTGAAGAGAGGAAGGTTGTTTCTCCTGATTGGGTCGGTGATGGGCTTCGTCTGGTTCACAAGCCGCTCATTGACATACGTGTGGTACTGCTCCTGCCCCAGCTTCTCGATCTGGTGCACAGTGTCGATGACTGCTGGGTCTGCCAGGTTCCTGCTGTCTAGTACCAGGAGATCATTGCTGTCATCACAGAAGGGGTTCCCCATTTCTCTCATGACACCGGAGAGTGACTTAACATCTCGAGCAAACGCCAGCTGTGTATGCTTTGTCTGCTCATGGTGCCTGGAATCAGGCTTCTTTGTTCTCGTCTCTGCTGTGGCGCGGAACTCTGCAATCACTCTTGCCATCTCAGGACCGGACACCATCCAGCGCTGCAATGCTGCAGGATTCTTAGTCAGGCCGACTGCTCCGCCATTTCCTTTCGCTGATGCGTTATTCTGCTCATGTGCCTGGTCGATGGCCAAAGCAGAGAATGCGTGTGTTGTCTTCTTCACTGTGAAGTTCCCAGCCATGAACTCTGCAAACACATCTGGATGCTTGTCTTCCAGTGCCACCATGTCACGCAAGTGAACTGGAATCCACCTTGCGTAATTTGTGTGCCCCAGGGCAAAGAACCAGGGTACAAGCTTGGTCAAGGCATCGATGTAGAGCATGAAGTCGCCCTCGCGTAGCGATCTCACGTAGATCATGATTTCCAGTTCCAGCTGCAGCATAATCGACCAGAACTTGAACTGGGGACTTGTATCAGCTCGGCTAGCACACCAGACTTCTACTGACATTGGAACCTGTCCCTCATCCAACCCGTCACAGTATTGGGTGTAACCCTCCTGTCGAAGGAGATACAGAACACTAGCTGTGACCTGGTGAGCCCATCGAGTGTGCGTCACATGGGCGGCTTTGATGAAGGAGTCGGCTGTTCCCGGTGTAGCAACTCCTGCCTGAACCAGGGCTTCTGTCCATCCACTGCAATTCCCCGTCCCGAATATCGTGACCGTACGTCGAGCGGTTAAGATTTGTGCCCAACTGTTGACGCACGGACGCACGCTCATGCGATTCTACAAGCTGCATCTGACTATGTCAGATGAGCTAAAAACACAATCTGACGGCTGATTGCTCGCCATGTAACTTAATGTATCGATGTAATCATTCATAATTCATTTGGTCGTTAGAAGTCGCTTCACTCCGTACCTCACAATAACACGGCAATACACATACCTGCGATACTACTATATAAAGCTGAGCATATATTATTTACACATACAGGCATACACGTTGTTGCGTAGTCATCATCCATGCTCCTGTGGACTGTATGCTTGTGGAAAGCTCCTAGGTGGCCCTGGGGGTGGGGGAGGCATCCTCATGCCTCCTCTTAACATAGGTGGTCTCATTAATCGTGGGGGCATGCCTCGTGGAGGTGTCCGAGCTGGGCACAAAGCAAAACACCGACTCTGATGTAACTGTCACAAATTTCATGGTAAACTGACTCGGTCGTGCTGGAGAAAATGATCGTGAAGTTTTTATTTTCAGAACACGGTTGCGCATGCACGCGAATGAAATACAGATTTACCTGGTCCTCCGTAGCCAGGGGGTGGTGGGCCTCTTGGAGGCGGTCCTCTCCATCCAGGTGGCGGTCTCATTCCGGGGTGTGGCGGGCCACCATATCCCCCATACGGTGCTGTCAAGCATGCCATAGTCAAGCGGTGTCTCCATATATCAATCAGTTGGACGCACACGCTCTAATATCTTATTAGTTTCACACAGCTGTTGCAATATCTTATCAGTGTCTACAAATGTTCGGTTTCAAAATTATTGCATTCATTCTAGCCTACCCTTAGGTTTCATGCTATGCAGGGTGTATTTCCTATGCAGTAAGATCCTGTATAACGATGCAATTTTATCTGATCATTTGCATTGCGATGGCAGTATGCTCTAGTACTATAGCCCGCGTTCGATAAACTGCCGCAGGGCCTTTAGCATATATATAGCGCCTGCGGCAGTTTATCGAACGCGGGCTATAGTACTAGAGCTAGATGGCAGTATGCTAGTGTTATTTTGGCACGTAATTCCTATATTTATTTAGAAATAGTTTTTTATTACAATTGTGTTGCTGGAACAAATTATCATCATTATAGAAGATGTACATGCCATGCCTACCATTCCATCCACCCTGGTAGCTGCCCTGCTGTGGGGTTCCCATTGATGACTGTACCGGCTGCTGAGTGCCGCCACCTACGTTTTGAGACTGAGAGTAACCTCCCATCGGAGGTCGGGGCATGTATGGAGCGCCACCTATCCACAATCAGAACAATTGTCTGCATAATTGAATGTATAACATCAATGACAAGGCAACAGAGCACACAACTGAGAAAGACCTATAACATTCAGATAATCTTTGTGGACAATTCTTGACATCACACAAACGGTTGACACCCCAAAGCTATAATATCCATGTGGATCAAAATCAATTCTTCTGTACCTTGTTGCTGTTGTTGACCCCAACCACCAGGGGGTGGATAATGTGGTGGAGGCATTGCTGGTGGGCCGGATGACCCTCCAATACTTGTTGGTGGTGGAACACCCATAGGTGGCATAGGTGGTGGAGGCATAGTGGGCACAGGGGGCTGTCCACCTATATACAAAGCACAACATTTATTAATATCAGTGTTTTGATATTTATCATTGGTGAGATTGTCACCATCATTATTACAGAACAATATTCAAACTAATGCAGAAAATATTCGAGTATAATGCTAAACCTACATGTCAGTGTTATGCTTACACTTGGTACCGCTGCAGGTAAATGATAAATGTGATCTATACCATTGAACTAAACCCACAAAAGTGCTACAGATCTCTGAATTAACCAGATTACTACGTCTTGGTTTGAATTAAAATAAAATGCTGACGCGATATATATATAGGTTGTTTGCTAGGAACCATTGAAGGAAGATTGAATACATTTAAACATGGCATGTATTAATATCACAAAACAAAACTCAACATCTTACCCGATGGAGGCAGAGGAGGCATTCCACCGCCGGGGGGTGGTGGAGGTGCCGGCAATGCAGACTGCTGTTGCAGAGGGGGAGGAGCATCGGCAAACAGTGTGTGTGGCCTATCCGCCTGCGAGAGGGGATTCTGTGCAGCCAGTAACCGCTCTAAACAAGACAATGTCTATGTTAATGTGAAATTTATAATGAATAAATCTTCAAAACCAACATTAGAGTTCAACATGTGTTCATTATCTGCAGCACTTGCTTTTTCATACCCTTGAAAACCTGAAGGGTAGCACAAATTTGTTACCCAATGCAAAGCAGTATCATGCCTTGTACCACTAGATGACATTACCTGCCGCAGAGCCGTGACGTTCGCCCTTGGAGTCTTTTTTGAACGCGTACGAGATCGTGATTGGTCGGTTACATAGGTATTGTCCATTCATTGCCTCTATTGCTGCATCTGATGCCTCAAAGCTAGCAAAGTTGATGAATGCGTAACCTTTAGAGTTGCCTGTGTCCGGATCTCTCATAATCTGCAATGGATAACATTGATTTCAATCATACCCTTAACACTTGCTTGCATAGATGTCATGAGTGAAAGAAATTGTTTACTTCTATTGCACTCATTTACGAGAATGAGTGAGTCTCAGGGTTTTGTAGTGCATAAATTACTACCTTGCAAAATTACAACACATTCAAATAAACTTATGCCAAAACAGCTTGGGATGGTGATTGGATGGGGTTATTAAATTCCTATTACATTTGAACCACGCTCATAGCGAGCGCATTATTGCAGCAACAATCCAAGACTGAGTTACATGTTACTTATTGATTGCACACAACCAATGTACAATTGTATTAAACTTGTGTTGAACGAGGACATATCGTCCGTCATTAGTTTCTTAATACCCGTCTTTCACAACATCTTGTACCTTGGGCGTTTGAAGGATGACGCCGAATGCACTGAATGTGTCGTAAAGTAATTTCTCATCAATCTCTGGATCGAGATTACCAATGAATATATTGGCGCCCACATCCAAGTTCTTCTGGTGTGCAGATGCCTACAGAAACACGTACATATATATATACAATAATTAAACTTATTGAATATGGTGATATAACGGATTTTAAATATTTTACTCTAAACAGGATATATTGTAAAAAGATTTGTTAATAACACTAAAAAATTATATTCCAGTCTGAATTCACATGTTTCCTAATTAATGGTCTACTTGGTAAACAACAATCTTATTTACACTTTAGATGACAAATCTGAACTAATGAAATACCTTATTCACGCGTATAGGCTTGCCATATAGTTTAATCATATTCATGATTTTTATGGCATAATCTGCATCTTCCTCGCCCATGAATTCCACAAAGCCATAACCCTGATGTGCTTGCGTTACTCTGTCCTTTGGCATGTGAACATTTACTGTAAAAACACATATATATACATCCATACTATACCAAATCCATTTGCAATAATGCACCCACATACACAAGCACAGTGACTTTTCTGCTAATCATAATGCTTGCATGCATCTATTTGCTATTTCATGAACATTACTGGCAAAGTCTTGTTCATTGTTTCTAATTTACTTACCTACAGGACCTGCTTGAACAAACAGTTCCCATAGCAAAGCTTCTGTCACCTTTTCATCCAATCCACCCACATAAATTGTGGCATCTACACAAAGAAACATGTATTTATCATCACAAACATACTATTCAGAGAAATACATAGATCTCAATTACAACTGCTCAAATGTGTGAGGTTTGCAATAAGTCTAGCACAGCTCAGTGTTGTTGTGTAGGTCTGAGCACCTGCTTGCAGGGTATAGGGTAGATACCAGGCTTTCATTTTTAAGGGGCGCGATCGCGCTCGCGCTCCACCGCGCACACGAAATTGTGCCATGGTGCGCGCATCATCGCGCCTCATAAAAGTGGTTGAAATCGCGCACCAAAAGTATGTCTATTATGTTGAAATAGTGCTCCACTAGATTTCTCAATGTAGGGGGGTACAAAAAGGTTAGCAACACACAACAATTTGTCGTGTGTAAGTAATTGAACGTATGGCAGAGGTACAGGTCTGGTTACTACCCTCTGGTTTATATATATATATAAATACAACTAAACAACAGCATCCAAATACAGGTACCTATACGGTAGCCACAAGTTACCTGCTCGTTTTCTACTATATGTGGCGAGAAGTGGTTTTCTGCCGACGTGAAACAGTCGTAGGGCTGGAGGGGCTACATACGTGGCTACTACGTACAAGTAATTTGGCTAGTTTGTTGATGGATTGTGATGATATTTTGTGCTGAAATATGCAGGTACATGGATTAGAATCTCTAAGGATGGAAATCAGAATAAATAAAACAAGTTTATTTTTACATCCGATCAACTCTTTTATTAATTTGTGTGCTAGTGTTGGGTTGTTGGATGAAAAGAATGTAATCCTGACGAAGCCATTGAATAAATGAAGATGAAGATGAATGATAATCAGTAAATTGACATGACATCCCAATTTTCGTTTTGGATTTCACTCTAGACTGAGGATTGGTCATGATTCCATCATCACACCCCAAGAGGCATGATGGAGAGCCCTCAAGGAGCTCTCCATCATCCCATTTAAAGGTGTGATTTTTAGTGGAGCTCTCCATCATGCCTCTTAAGGGTGTGATTTTTTAGTGGAGCTCTCCATCATGCCTCTTAAGGGTGTGATTTTTTAGTGGAGCTCTCATCATGCCTCTTAAGGGTGTGATTATGGAGCGTGAAAAGACCCCCTATGGTGTCCTAGGGGAGTCATTAGTAGTCCTCCTGTACTTTTCAAATCTGAAAGCCTGAGATACAATAATGTAACCAAAACCCAGGAGTAGGGTTACAATGCGAGCCTATTCTTTTCTTTGGAAGAGCCCCTGAGTGATTCACTCAGGGCGGTTTTATGGTGCGTTTTTCGAGACTAGAACTTCCAAACTGGGTTTATTCTAAACACGAACCTTTCTCCACTATCCTGGGACTTACTATGTATCACAATACAGGATAGTGGTATGGATGATGTACATATTAAACTAATATAACCTGTTACAAAATTTCGAAGTGACGAGCGGCGATATTTTGAGTGCCATTTCTGTTGACCTGTGACGTACGCATTCCCAATGCGCATAGCGTTCGGCTAACTTCAGCCCCAAGCCGATTTTTCTGTTGCCTTGACATGCTGGCTCTGGTGACGTCATGACTGACAGCCGGCATCCCATGATGCATTCGATCTTGGAGCCGAAGTTAGCCGAATGATATGCGCATTGAGGATGAGTACGCCACAGGTTAACAGAAATGGCACTCGAAATGTCACCGCTCGTCGCTTCGAAATTTTGTAACAGGTTATATTAGTTTAATACAGAGTATTGTGACACATAGTAAGTCCCAGGATAGTGGAGAAAGGTTCGTGTTTAGAATAAACCAAGTTTGGAAGTTCTAGTCTCGAAAAACGCACCATAAAACCGCCCTGAGTGAATCACTCAGAGGCTCCTCCAAAGAAAAGAATAAGCTCGCGTTGTAACCCTACTCCTGGGTTTGGGTTACATTATTGTATCTAGGTATAGGGTTATGCGCCAGCAGGGTAAAAGGTGGTGCAATCTCGGAAAGTGAGGTCCAGAGTTAAATCTGCCATGTTTTATGATTTAAAACCATTATAAAGCAGCTTCCTAGACCTGGAAAGTTCAAACAGATGGCACAGTGACAACAGTGAAATAGCCGTTCAGACAATAATAAGAAACATGTATATCCGAATGAGAAAACCACGTATTGTCATTGGCATACGGATGTGAGACGAAATTGAAATGTGTCAGTCTAATGTTCAATGTGTGAGACTCCTGACAATAGTAATAATTTAAATAAGTATATGAGCCACTTCATTATAATATGATTTCTTTGAGGCACTTCAGTCTTCACTTGTTCATGTTTAGTGCAGCAGATATGTGAAAAAATTGTGGGTTTGATGATAAAAGCATATAATTTGGCTCACATTTATTACATATCACTAGGAATATTTTTGGATATAGGGACATTGCATATTCCTCCTGGGGCCAAAATGGCGGCCATTTTACAAAATGGCCGTGATCGGGTATTACATAACACATAATCTGTAGAAGTTGTGCAACTTTTTGAACTGGAGATGCATGTAAGTGATGCAATATCACTTAAAATATAATCTGGGATGCCAATTCAAGGTCATACACCTTACATAACCGATTCATTTGGCCTATCAGGCAACAATTACGCAACATTTTTTTTTTTTTATGAGTTTTGTCTGTATTTTGCAATCTGAAAATGATCAGTTTATAACATTAAACTGCACTGCCACTGTGGAAGTGCGTTTACCCTTATATATTATCATACATTTATATTTTACCCTTACATTGTCAGTGGGTACATGTCTACATCAT